GAATAGCTGGGTTCGCCAAGTCAGCCGCTCTCGATTTGAATTTGAGAGTTTGGTGTTACGGCGCTCCTACACGGTTTCTCTATAGCTTTTCAGTTACTGTCTACTTTGACCTGGAGATACCCTCTTTGTCTCCCACCCTCTGGTAATGTGCATGCTACGTCCTCCATGGCACCTCGCACGGCCTCCCAGTTCAGATTGTGTGGGCTCAACCAAGGCTCTACCGCCTGGCCATGCCCAGCGACCGTGGATTGCATGATATTGCATGTTGCTTTGTATGGCTTTCCGAACCAGAGGCGTCTTTATGTTCTTGTAGCATGTCAGATCATGTTTGGCTGCCAAGTCGAAAAGTCAGCTTGTAATTATTTCTATTCCGTTGGCTTTTCTATACACAGCCAGCAATAGAACCAAGTAGAAAGCTTAATGGCAAATGGTCTTTGTGGCGGATCGGCCACACCTCGTCTCTCCCCACCGAGACGGACACCGACTTCTCCTCGACGCCGCAGGTGGGAGCGACGACTTGACAGTCCAAAGTGGAGCTCGTCCGGAGCGGTTTCCGCGAGAAAAAGGAGAACCATGACGGATTTGTCCGGTGCTGATACAGATGGGGGCAGGTCCAAACCTGGAGCCCGACCCGTCCATCATATAGCTTGCTTTACCTCTGCCAATCGGTGGTGCCATCCACTTCCACAAAGTGTCACAAACTGTTGGGGTTCAATGGTCCTGCCAGAGGGACTCCTAGAGATCCCCACTTCCAGCGATCAGCGATGCCAGCGATCCCACTGTCCGGTCAAGTGAAGCTTTTTCCAAGGCAGATGCGAAGTTGGAGGCTCCTGTCCAGGAGCCTGTAAATTGGGATCAGCTTGATATCAGCAGCATTTATTCCTTGGAAAATCGTTCACTTGGAGGATCAAGTAAGTATAGCCCAGTATAGCCCAGTTATGAGTGATGTATCTGGGGATGTTCAGCCGCGCTTGACATGCTTGGCCCGGCCCAACTCTCAACTTAGGGATGTAAGGAGTCGAGAGCACAAACTACCAAAGCATGACAATTTCCAAGCTCAACCTTTTGCCCGGTGCCGGTGCCCCTACGTCGAAGCTCATGGTGTTCATGCTGAAATGGCTCATGTTCCATGAACTACCTCCCAAGAGCTGCCACACCAAGAGAGGTAGCCAGTGACCTTATAGGACCTTACTGGGGTACCTATGGGATAGTCTATAAGGTCCTTCAACCTCTGTTGGCATGCATCATGCCCCGCCACCACCGGAAGCCCTCGGAGACGTCTCCGACCGTTGCCGCGTTGCACTCCTCAGCGTTTGGACTCCTCATGCGCCGTGGAGCTTGGAAGGCGGGGACCCTTTTGGGCCGGGGCGGGCGGAGCGTCCTTTGAAGGAGGAAGACACCCTCGGCAAGTTTGGAGTGGAAGAATCACTCAACATTGACTTAAACTAGTAACTAGCTTAAACTTATAGGAATAACATGGATTTCGGAGGTGGAGCTTTCAGAGTCTTGTTTCATCCACAAGGGCTCGGACCAAGGCATGTTTTGGGAGGGCGTCGCAGTAGTTACAGCATCGCTGGACCTGGAGACATCCTGGTCGTGAGACTTCCTGGTGGATAGACCTGAGGGGAACTTGTTCAGATGGGTCTAGTAGAGTAAGTTCCTGGAATGAACGTATGAATGGACCTTGAGAACCACTGGCTGGTAGATGAGAAGACTCTTAACTTGTAGGGAGTCCATGTTCACAGTCCAGGTGCTCTGTCCGTCTTGGGGGGATAACCCAAACTCCGCTCGAGGCTGAATTTGGGTGAACCGTTTTGTGCCTCTCTGAACGGGGCCTGAAGACCATGTGGTTTTTGCCGTGACCGACAGCCTCCAGGCTGCCCTTGTCCTCGCCATGTCCTTCCTCTCCTTCACACCTGCGCTGTTGGGGACCCCCAGCCTATAGCTAAGCTCAGAGAGACTTGTTGTGAAGCTCGAGTTGGGGGCACTCAGCAGTTCTCAGAGGTGGATGATGGATGTGTTTTTGGTGCAGAATCCCGAGAGGGTTGCGTCACCGTGTCTCAAGATCTTGATGTGTTGGAACATGTTGGAACCGTTTTTTGCCATGATCCTGTAGGATTGTGGTTCCGAAACAGGAGACACGAAAACCTTTGTGAGAAACACTTCGAGGAGGGTGAGCGGAACCCTGCAGTTAACGTGTTGAGGATTGTTGAGTTGTTGATCTTCCCGCTATGGTGGAATGCCCTACTGGAAGCCGTGAACCAGGTGGATTGCAGGTAGAGAAACAGGAAGATGAACTATGAACTCCTGGAAGTTCTGTGAACTCCAAGTTCTTGGCTTTAACATGGCATACATGTTTTGTGTTTTCTCGAGTTCGTTACTAGCCATGGCCCAAAATTGGAGAAACCTCTAGAGGGATCAAGTGGCCGCAGGGCAACACATGCCAACACCGTGGTAGATTCTCATTCTTGATGCAGAGTTCTACATCTCCCCACAAAGCCCACCAACAAACCCACTGCATCAACCTCCAAGACATCCTGAAGCCCACCTCCATCTTTGGACTGGTGCAATGGTTTCATGGTTTTGCTCAAGGTTATTGTATGTTCCCTATGGGTCAATCCCCTTTGGAGGAATACCCTCCCTGCAACAATCATGGAAGTGGACAACCCCGACACCCCTCTTGGTATTCGGAAAATCGTCTTCCAAGCGGACATGCCATCCACTTCCATGCTTGTTTTCTTGGTTTTGCTTGAGGTTATTCTATAGGGTAAATCCATGTAAGTCCATCCCCTTTGGAGGAACATGTGTTGCTTTTTTCCTGTGACCTTAAGCAAATCCTTGGTCTTCCCGAGGCGCCGCCTGACCGGTGTGGCTGTGCCGCAGGCGTCCTCCGCTCTCTTTCGCTTGGCACGGTCCTCCGCTGGAGCGTCTGTTGCGCTGTTGTGCCACAGGAAATATACAAACCTTGTTAAAAGAGGAGGTATCACAGTTGTAGAGTGGGCTTTGAGTCGAGTTACTTTTTGACTCACCTAAGCAATACTAAAATATACTATAGCTACTGAGAGTGCTACTGAGAAAGGTTTAGAGCCAAGGAAACTGAGTTATGCACCACTGTGATGAACAAAAGGCTGTATAAATAGAATGAATGTGTTTCAACATGTTCGAAAAGAATCCTTATTGCCAGAATTTGACTGGCTGAGTGTCCATAGCTTTGGGCCCAAAGACGGGCTCACCGAGAATGAAGTTCTCAGCAGCCATAGTTCCTTTGTGCATTCAGAGCTCATTTGCTTTGTCACTGAATGCACAGGGCCGCTGTGATGGTGCCCCAAGCAGCTCATGCTGCAATTGGCACTGCGACACCACTGCAGGGTGGGTAGCGAAGCATCCAATGAGCAAATTCACAGGAACCAGCAACGAGGACCTGGGTTTGCTGATGGCGTTCATTATTCTTTTCCCCAAGTACTGCAAATTCGGCTTGTAATTACATGGGACATCCTCATGAGCCAGTAGAGGGATTCAACAATTATCTAAACAATTATCCCAATTCTTCCTCAGCGCCAGCTCTTTCTTCATCTCTCCAGGACTGTTGCGAAAAGACCTGTGTTCACTTTCCATGTCCCCACGGCTTCCGGACGAATGTGGCCTATGCGAAGAACACGGGCTGGTCCCCTGAAGCGTGCTGCGACCAGACCTGCGAGACCTTCGAATGCGCTGAAGGCTACAGGGTCACCACGGCCACAGCACAGGGAGTGAACCTGACACATGTGACCTGGTTAGACAGTGGTTACACGAATGGGACAGGTATTTTTGAGACCGTTTTGCGACCGTTTTTGCCCATTGTTGTTGTTTGTTTTTCTTTTTTCAATGTTGTTCAGATGTTGTTAAGCCCCTTTGATGTTTAACTCTTCTTTGCTACCGTTGATTTGTGTTTTTTTTCATATGTGTATTTGTTCAAGACAGTCTACGAATAATGTTATAGTGAAGTCCCTTCGGAATTAACGGGGATTTACAGTTAAAGACCTGGATTTGCGGATCAAGTGACTCTAGATGCAGCTTTTTGGTGAATCCCCTTCGAGGAAGTGTATAGTCAGAGGCGAGGGACAATATACGTATACAATGTTATTTTGTACTTATCCCTATATGCACCCAAGCCCTACAACTTTGTAAGGTCTGAATTAAAAATGTTGGTATATTTTGTGAACTCTGTCAAGCATACCTTAATTGATATACCTTGGGGTTGTTCTTAAAACCTTGGGTTTTGCTTTTTCAAACCCGTATCCCTAGGCCTCCCCAAGACGTACTGACAAGCATGCTAGAATGGAGAAACAGTGTGAGGAACCATTCGCCCCCCAACAACCTCCTCAGCAGGGCCTCAGGCCCTTCATCCTGGAAGGCATTTTTCTCCTAACCTCGAGTGGTGGCACATCCCATGCTGCGTGTTGATGTTGCGAGACCAAGTTGCAGCAAGGAAACCCCCAGGCACCACCACTTGGGTTAGTGCATCCTTGTGCGTAGAAACTGCAAAACGCTTAGATCTTACAAAATGCATATACGCAGCGAACCCCATATTTTTTGTGAGAACAGGGAGTCTCATCAGAGGTGCTCCCATCAAGGTTCCCCCATACTGGTAACAAATTAGAACAAATAAAACAATATTGGAATAAATTGCAAATCATTACAAAACATTGTAGATCATACAACAACTTATGCTCTCAAATGATTAGCTAAAGTTGGTCGTATGGAAACATTTTCTCTTATCATGTCACTGGGGGCTGGGCCTTTGAAAAATTGGCGGCATTGCTTCTTCCAGCTTCCCCTTGCTGCACATACCAGCTAGATCGCTGAACCCACGAAGCCCTCGCACTTGAAAGCATGAAATATGCCGGCAACTCTCTACCGAGTTCTGTGGTTCTGTGGCACCGGTATGTTTCGTGCTCCTTGGTCAACCTGAAAGGCTTGGAACCTAAAATTTCTGAACAACAAAACTTTTTTTACTGTGTTGGCAGAAGCGGGTTGTGACCTTTGCCTGAAGACACGAAGACACGAAGACCCGTGAAGACACGAAGAGACGGAGACCCGCGAAGCTCTTCAAGGCTTTAAGTCGTCACCAGGCTTCAAGGCTTCACCCACAGATGCAGCGTTGACCTGCAGCAGACACTGTAGCCAGTTTTGTCTTTATAGGAGAACCACCTCGAACTGTTTGAAAAAGCAACAGTTGCATTTCTTGTGGGCTTTCACCGGACGGATGGATGGATGGATGGATGGATGGATGGATGGATGGATGGATGTGTTTGTTTGTTTGTTTGTTTGTTTTGTTGTTTGTCTATGCTGTTTTGTTTTGTATTTTCCGTATGTATATGTGTGTAGGTATGTTTGTATGTGTTTGTACGTACATATGTACGTACATATGTATGGACTTATCTTGTGCGGTTTTGCGTTTTGTATTGTTGTTTTAGGTGATATATTGTTTGTACTCTATGTAATGTATTATTTGTTTTGCATGTGTTGTATGTTTGTATGTATGAATGTATGTAGGTAGGTAGGTACGTAAGTAAGTGTGGACATGAGCAGTAGGGCACTCTCGAGTGACCTGGTCTGAGCCAAAGACCCTATGATACCCTATTAGCATGTTGTTGCAGCCACCAACCTCCTCAGCAGGATTTCCAGGTCAAAAACCTTGTCAGCCAGTCGTATTTAACCCATACTCAGCCTTTAGCACTGGTTTGGACAAGGCACCTGTCAGAAACCCTAGGTCTTTCCACAATACAAATTTGTAGTCTTTGCCGTCTGCAGCGCTGCTACGCGCGCTATATACGTTCGTTCGGTTTCCGGGGCCATCCGAGGACACCTGCTGTTCACCGACCTGTGGACTTCACAAATGTGGAGTCTTCTGGAGGGCTTCGGAGGACGTTTTTTTGAGTCGTTGGTTTGGTATCCATTCATGCGAAAGCAAGACGTGGTGTTTTGAGATGGAAACAAGTGACGCAAAAAACACCCGACCAAATCCATCACCGATCTGGAGATGCCACGGAAGAACAAACAGATTGTTGATCAAAACTGTGCTGGATGTGACGGATGTGTTTGTTTTTCCTTTCATCCGGTTTTTTCAAACCCTTTTTGTATGGTTTGCCAAACCACTTGGGAAAACCCAAGCCCGAAAGTGTTGTTAAAGGCCTTGCATTCCCCACCAGGACCGGAGCTTTTGGGTCGGAGACTCCGACGCCGTGTGCTGCGAGCCGCGTTGTGCTTTGATGCAATGCGGCCTCGGCTGGGCGTTGGATGACCAGAAGGTCGATCAGGTGGGCGCCACACGCGAGGAGTGTTGTGCCAAGACCTGTGAGATCGCCCAGTGCCCACAGGGCTGGCGGATTCCCGAGAGCAAGGCCACTGGGCGTGGGCGGGCACCAGCCAAGTCCCGGGTGAGTTCGCCACAGGAAAGTGGATTTGGGGAGAAGAGAATTGTTTTTGAAAACGCGAATCGATGGAATGTTCACAATGGAAGGGCACCTTTGTATGTGTTTAGCAAAAGCATGAACCTCCCTGGCCAGCCAATGTGTTTTTGTATATGTTCCTGAAGTTTGCCTCGGCCAGCTGCAAGACATGCCAGAACCCCAGGAAACCGTCGGCAATCGGTGCTTGAAAGGCTAGTCTTTGGAAACCCCGTTTGTTCGAGAGTGACTACAATCCTGGACCTGGTCATGAATAAATAGACCCCTTCCCTGCCTGTGGTCATACCCATTCTTGCCGTGTCACATGTCCTGGTGAGAAGCATCAAGGGCGGCGAGGTGTGGTTGTTGAGACTCGAGCTCAGTCAGGTGAAGAAAATTGCTCGCAATGAGAGCGAATGCTGCCAGCCGACGTGTGAGCAACATGTTTGCGGCAAGGGCTATGTGACGGATGCCACCAAAAGTGATCTTTTCATGCCTTCCAACGACCGATGCTGTCAGAAGAAGTGTGCTGCCTTCGAGTGCCCTGAAACCTGGCGACTGCAGATGTTTTGGCTCATTGCTCTACCAGAAAAGCAAACTAAATACATAACTGTAATTAAGAAATCCATAGGCTGCTGGACCTCAAGAAAGTATGAAGAAGTTGATTCTGGGCACCATGCATTGGTACCAACAATGAGAGAACCAACCAGAGGGTCCAGCTAGGTCTTGTGAGAGATCAACACAAATTGAAATATAAAGCATCTTGATGTTCAACCCCCTTGAAACGAAACCAACGCATCCGAAGTATATGACGTAACTATCGACCAACATTGACCATCATCAACGACCGTTCTCTCAAACCATCATGTTTTTCACAGGATTGATGTCTGATACCCTGCATTCCTGTTGACGTCTGATCTCTTCGGTCCATGCGTCGGTGCCCAGGACGGCTGGGTGCGAGATGAGAGTAAGGGCGATCTGCTGGCGACCAATGCCGAAGGCTGTTGCATCAAGCAATGTCACTCGGACGGGATCCGCCATGGTGTTGTTTGTGGCTTATAGACTCGTTGCTGTTGTTGCTGCTGCTGCTGGTGTTGTTGTTGTCGTCTTATATGATGTGTTTGTTTATGTTTCCCCTGTATGCGTAATGCCTCGGGGGGAAGATGGTTTTATGATCTCTCGGTTTCTGGACGCAACTCCAAGTCGTCAGACCTGGGGTGAGATCCCCGGCGTGTCGTGGCATTTGACATTTTTACAGGTCCCCTGATGCCCGTGGATCCGAAGAGGGAGAGATTCAGTAAATCAAGACTCATCCATGCCCTACTACGGATATAACATACTTTCTGAGAAGGTGATTGGAGGCGAATGATGTAGCCTTGGAGGGACCAAGTACCTTCGCAGGTATGTGGATCCCTAGGGATGGATGAGATGCCAATCCATGGATGTGCTGCCGGATCTGTATATGACAATGTATGATATGACTTCAGCGAATCTCCGCCCCCCCCTAAATGCTGTGTTGGAGATATGATGGGTGTTTCCCTCCCTGATTCGGAAAATTCCACAGAGATCGGAATGGAAACACACAACCTCTCTCCACTCCCAGCCATCATGTTTTCGTGGACCATGGACCCTGGAACTTGGTTTTAAAATAGATCTGAAACCGAAGTCCAAGGCACTTCCATTGCTTTGTTCGCCTTTAGAATGCTGTACTATGTGGTACTCTTTCTAAAAAATGGGACCTGACCAGACCTGGTGTAAAGATAGACCAAAGTCTTCACCCTATCTCTTTTCACTTGGACTTAGGGAGATCCGTCTTTGCCAGAGCATCTTCCGTCCTTCCCGGTCCTTCCTGTCTGGAACCATCCCACAGGTCGTCTCCACGAATGCGGCGCTGGTTGGCTCACCAACACCTCCAAGAATGCCCTCCTGGGCTCTACCGATCCGATCTGTTGCGATCAGACCTGCGCTGCCTTCGCGTGCGCCCCCAACACGACGAATCGTCCGGACGTGGCGAACAGCACCAACATTAGCTGCTCGGTGAGAAGAGGAACAGTGACAAGGTGACTGAAATCCACCAACATGATTTGTCTATAAGGACCTCGTAGGCTCTTGGTGAATACAACGCTCCACATTTAAAAGGTTTTACAATCCAAACAGGGTGAAATTGAATCAAGAGTCTACATCCGTCAGATTTCTAGTTTTAGTATTGTTTGCTCTCGTTGTTATTTTTTGTTCCGAGGCTCATGACTCTCCCCAACGAAAATAACCGGGCACCGCAGGTTACCCCGGATGTATGTGTTTTATGGTCGCAAACTGAGATTTTCAGTTTACCAGCAGGCACCCCATTCACCATCCAACAAAAGCTGAGCTTCACCGAAAAAAGCCTTTTCATCATCTTGAAGCCTCAACCGAATGCCATGATACTTTACCGGCACAAATAGGCTGTAATTAGGTCTCCCTTGTTGGATTTTGGCCCCACCAAACATACCTCGGGCATTGCCCATAGACCTTGGCAGACTTTGTTCCTGAGTTTCCACGCTTCAAATGCCATTCCTCGAAGCGCTCGCGTTTGTCCCTGCCTCAACAACTTCTGGAAATTGCTCTTAAAAACAGGGGGGCCATCTACAGTATATACAAAAAGACCTTTGCCACGATCCAAGCATGATCAATGACCCGTACTTGCGATAACGTCCAACATGCGAGCTTGTCCGGCCCTTTCGCTTTCCAATTCGTACGTGTCTTCCACCGGGCATCGAATCTTTTGTGACATCAAAACCCCACGCGTTTGGATTGCGATGAGGGGTAAATGTCTCAAGACATGTCATAAACCCTCCGGACACCGCAACTCTGGAAGATGCGGTACTTGAAGGGTGAGAAGACAGACCCGTCCGCAGGCTCGAGACCCGCATGGCCTGTTAATGTTTGGTGGATGAATCATGAACATACCAGGACCATCCAAGGGGTGTCCAATGGGCTACCCCACACTACCTACAGGCTTCTATTGGGCACCCCTTGGAGGGTCCTGGTAGATCATTTGTTCAATGGTGAAAGGAAGGATGATCAGAAGATATCAGAAGATGACATTTGATCCCACAGCTGCAACATAAATCATTCAAGAGAGTGATCACCTGACGGACCTGAGATGAAGACTGAGCAAAGACTCAATGAGATACTTTTCTGTGTAGATTCACGTAAGGCCAAGATGTTTGCTGCGAAGCTGCACTTTGCCCAGCGATCCGAAAGCTCAAGCAGACGAAGCAGCACTGCAATGGCCATTCGAAGAACCATTGCGAAAAGTATTTCGACGTTTTGCAGAAGAATTCGTCAAACACTTCAAACAGGACCAGGGTTTTGAAAGGAGTGGGTTAGTACATGTTAGTACTGCAGATTCAGTCATCCAGAGAGTGCTTGTCAGTGCGTTTAAACAGGGTCGCCGGCACAGCGGTAGCAGGACAGTGACCGTGTTCGCCAAGTGCTACTACGATGGTGTCTATGACCTGTGCAGGGTCAACAACAATATGACGGTCACGGGATGCTCACCCATTCTATGACGAAAGCATCAGTACTCTCTGTGTGCGAAAAATGGACGGTCGGGGCGGTCGGGATGTGAGAAACTGATGGACCAATGTATCTATCTTGTAATATCTTCAGCTCTCAAGCAAAAAGAAGACTTTCTCCATGGTTTCAATCAATTGCAAGATGGATGAAAGGCTGTAGACAATCCAAGAAAGCCTGCTGCGACAGACATACGCGTATATTGATGCATATTGTAACTCCCCCATCTAAACAGTCAGAGGTAGGGAAATCAAAGATTTCTCAGAGGTGAAGGTGGGCAGAACAGGTGAGGTGTTTTTTCGTCCTAGGTGCCATCAGGTGCCACTTTGGGCGAACCACTGACCCTCTTATGGATTTTTGCTTCATGCCTCCATTGATATCATCCATGGGTGCCCAGCATTAGCTATCAGATCATCAGACTTTGTGTGGAATCTCAGAGTTTTGAAGCGAACGCTTGTTGTTCGCAACTCATTCGTCGCTCTCGACATCTGTCAGGCTGGCCGCTGCCTTGTTGGAGCACAGGCCCGTGCTGGGTCTTCGTGCGAAGAAGAAGAGGGACCAGAGAGGCTGCGAACTCTTGTAACATCGTACATCCTACAGCCACTACTGACTTATATCCCTCAGTTAGTGGTACGTAGTCTGAAATCTGTTAAATGTGCTTGTTCCATGTTGTTCCTTCCCCATACAGGTGTCAACAGATGTTCAAACTTTGGCAACAGTACGGCGACATGGAGCCCTCATGCCTACGCAGACAACACCAGTGCTTTCCTTTGGTGGCTTTTGAAGACTTAAAAGTGCCGGGTGGTGACCTGTGAAGTCGGCTGCTGGTGCTGAACATTGGTTAATCGACCTGTCCCAAGGCGCGGCAGCAGCGATGGGTGGCTCGAAGCTTCTCCAGCAAGGCACGTGCGGCGGAGGTGGTGTTGAACAACTCGGGGAGCAAGTCGACCACTGGAGACGCAGATCGGTTGTGACCTAGGGAACTAAGTCATGTTCAAGTACGTAGCTGAGTAGTTTTTGCGAGCTGAGAGGCTGAGAGTGTAGCTGGCAGTGTGGTTTTCGAATTGTGAGGAGGGTTTCGGTAGGGCTGATTGGGGAATTATTCGAATTCATAGGAGCCAACCACGACATAGTAGTACAGTATATTTTTCGGAAGTCTTCGCTCAAATACCAAGACAATCTTTGGCAGGACTGCATGTGAATCAGTTGTTCAGTGATGGGGCTCCGGCTTTGAGTGATAGTTTTGGAGGGATGTCGCTATCAGCACCTCCTTTGTAGCGGCGGGAGAGCGGTTCTCGCCAGCCTTTGCCAGGAGCAAAGATGACGGAAAACATAAAAGATGGATGAATTGATATGTGGAACCTGTATGCAAGTAGAGTTCAAACTCTTCCGGCATGTCAATACTGGCATTGACCCAACAGATGCGTCCTACGCAGGTGTTAATTTGATTTGTTGCGTTTAGTTCTTTTTGTCTAATGGCTGGTTTAGTATGGTGTATTAAAGCTTCGGCTGCCTTGCCTGATTCATGCCGGGCACTCCTGGCAGTGCAGTCCATTCTTTGTTTGTTTTGTTCACCTGGACGCTCCAAACAGCCCTCGGTTTCTCAAAACCTAGGGATTGGTTTCGAAACCCCTGAGCCCTGACCCGAGGTATTTCGGGTTCGCATGTCTCCATTGGGGGCCGAGTTCGGGTCGCTTCTGGGCAAGTCATCTATTATTTATCTTGAACTTGTTGATGACTTGACTACAAGGCACCAATCCAAATCAAACACCCACTTGCTACTTGGAAGACACCCACCATGAGCCAACGATGAGCCTAGAACGGTGGTTCTTTTGTTGCAGGTGGCGGTGATCCAAGACCAGCAGATCCCCAAGGACGAGGCACAGACCGATGCAGTGTGATGGGCAAATTCAACAAATCAGAAAGCAAACTTCCTACCAAGAGATGTCTAAGGGAATAGCCTACCAAGAGATGTGTGTGTGCATACTAACAGTTATTCTTAAATGACCCAAAGTTGTCCAAACAACAGCGGGGCCATAGTCCCCAAAACCAACATAAAGGCACTCTTGGGAAGACCATGCCTTGCCGATGCAGCAAGCTGCAGCGGTTGGTCTCAGCGCATGGTTCATGCTTAAAGATTTGATGCACCCAGCCCTGGCAGCCATACCACTAGGCAGTATCGAACCAGAGCAAGGCGAGAAAAAATAGCCCGGGAAAGCCAAAAAGAAACAACGCCTTTTTTGACCTCAAAGCTATAGACTCCCTCAAACAATCATGGAAATGGATGGCATGTCCCCTTGGATACCCATTTTCCGAATACCAAACAGGTGGTGCCCTCCACGTGACCATGATGATTTCAAGGAGTGGCCCCCTCCACCAGTCTCGCCTCCTCTCCCAGGCCATGAAAGCCTTGTCCGGAAAAGGATTCGATGTCTCCTGGTCGTTTGGGAGTCCCAGTGCAGGTGTGTCGCCGAATGGGTGTGATACTTTGTATAAGATGATGTTGTATGTTCCCCATGAGTGAATCCCGCAACATGTGTTTTTCTCCCGGTCGCTGGATAGACTAGTTCCATGTTCCTGTGACTCACGGCCCGTACTTACCCCCTTAAAGCCGGCGTAGCCACCGGGGGTAGGGGGGTTCGTTGCCTGGGATGGGTCTCCCTAATTGAAGACAGGGCGCTGTCTATGTGTGAGTCTGACTTGGGAGGAGCCGACCGTCAAGGCCAATGGTGCGGGAGACAATGCGACGAATCCGACGGATTTGCCACGAAACCTGTTGCTTGGGAGACAGATAATCCATATGAGATAGATATATCCCAGACACGAGTAATGGGACTGGTATATTTACCGCCCCATTAGGGTGGTGCCAGAGAGGTTAATGTAGGCATGTATGACAAACATGGAGTGTTTGGGTATAGTGATCCCAGTAGTGATCCCCAAATAGATGACCGTGGCACGGTTTCCAATACATTTTCTACGTGGGGATCTACGAACTTCTATCTATGACAGGGGATCTATAGAAGTTCACTGGATCTAGTGGAGAGGTCACCATAGGTCACTAGTGGGTTTCAAAGGGATGGGCGCAAAACGGATGAAGAGGGCTGGTGACATTGTAGGGCTATAGGAGATCCCAAGATTGGCTTGCAGCTGCGCTGCTGAGTTTCTTGTGATGGAAGGCACGTCTCAAAGTCGATGTTCCGCACTTGTGGTGTGCAATTTATGAAAGACGAAGGGATGGTTCTGCAAGCATCGGAGTGTTGTTTGTCAGCTGCGTTTGTTTGTCAGGTGTCCTGCTCACATGGTGGGTCACCAAGCTATCGAACCTCATCAATCCATTCGCCTCCAGAGACTCCGGGATTCGTTGAACCTCTGAGATCCATGCTTGCTCCACATAGAGCCCGGTTTTGGGGTGTGACCACTACTCATCTAGGTAGCCTGATGTTTCTTCATGTTTGTCCCATCAGGTTGGTGGGCTTGACTTCCATGTTTGCTCCTCGCGTCTTGTGGAAGCGAACGTCTTCGACGTTCTCACGGCCGCCGGTCGACGAGGGTTTTTGTCTGTCGACATACGGCCTGGGGAGGCGGTGTTCGAGAACTGTCTGGAGCTCAAAATCCACCAAAATCCATCAATGTCCATTTCGTACAGACAGAAGGGTGTAGATATACCATGATTTTACCCAGCGGGACCCACCTACTTGTAACCTATCACCTCCATCCACTTCCCAGAATGGGAGATCAACCTATACCACCTTCTTAAGAGCTCTGGGGTGGCCAGCTCTGGGCCACTGAGCCGGAGCACGCGGTCCCCCCCCGCCGTCTGCCCTGTTCCACCCAGGCTGGCGGAGCCTTCGGATGCCTGGGCCATCGTGACGGCCCGGGGGATGCGGAGGGTGCAGGGGCTGCAGGAGTTCGCCCCCCTCTGGCGGGGTGTCACCTTGTTCTGTGGTATTTTCTTGTTCAACCTAGGCATGTGCAAACTGGACATGAAAAAACCTGCTGTTGTTTGGTTGTGTTTAATCAATGTTTTTCTCCAAGGGGATGCTACTCATCTTCCCTTCCTCAAGGATGGGGATGTTTTTTTCTTCTCAAAGTGATATTCAATGATTCATTTCAGTCTCGAAGATCATGAAACTCATAACTCCTCCATCCTGCACGAGCAGTGGGATGGACCTTCCAGCAAAAAAGCAGCAGTGGGATGAGCCTGATTGAAGTGATTGAAGTGGATCGAAAGTGATGGCCCGGTGTGGTCAGCACCAACCATTCCGATGGCCCAGTGGTTCGTGACACCAGCGGGTATAGTGACCAGAAGACGTGGTTTTCGGTAACTGGAAGGGAACCCGGCACTCACGGCACTCTTCGACACTCACGGCAATGGGCCTCACATCTCTTTGGGCTCAGCAATCTCCAGAGGATTGGGTTTCTGGTTGTGCTTGCGACCCCATTGATTGTTGAAGTTGTTGATGTTCTTTAAACCATGGTGTTTATGTATAAATGTATGTTTCCAAATAGCTGGTTTGGTCATTTGTTGAAGGGGTCTTGGTGGGTCCAGGTTGCTCTCGACTTCCATGTTAAATCCTTTGACACTCTGAAGATCTGGATCCAGAAGAGGTGAACCGGTCTTTTTCGGTGCTCAGAGGAGTAGGGACGCTGGAGAGAAGTTCATTAGAGGCAGGGAAACATATTCCATCCATCAAAGATTGCACCATGTAGCTATTGTCAACCATGCTTTTCTGGTGGATGGCAGAAAGGCGTAAAGAGCTCCTCACGACTTTTGTAGGCAGATGTAGGCAGCAAATGGCTTGAACGAGGTGTGGTGTGCTTGTGAAGACCAACCACCATGGAATATACATTGTTGATGTTTTACCTTAATGTAGTGTGGTGACTGTGTGGTGAAGCAAAAAGCATACCCTGCTAAGCTATGCTACAAGGCAAGAGCTTGTTTCCATGTCAGTGACCATTGTCCAACAAATATTGGTTTGCAGGTCAGCTGAACGTGTTTAGAATTCTGGGAGGAGAGCAGTTATAGGTGTAGCTGTTGATTCTTCGTCGCGAAAGGAGTGCACACTCAGATTGTTCCGACATCATTGGAGATGCGCCTTTCTGGTGAAGGTCGATCGCAATCCACGCAGGATCTATCGGGTGAAGGTCTGTGTAATAGATCCTGGATCCCATCTCCAAAGCCACATCTCCAGATCGAACTCCAGTTTTCCACGGGCTTCGGGGGCCTACCGGTGCTATGATGAATGTGGTTCGACTCGGCAGCTTCCAGAGTGGAGTGCACAGTAGATTTGCACGTACCTGAGACTTGTCCCATCATTTGAACAGCAGAAACTACCGTGCTCAGAACAGAAGCAGTATCGTCAAATGGGACAAACTCATCAATAGTTTCGGTCACCGTTTCAAAGACCCTGGCAATGCTGTTGCAGAAGTCAATTAACTTAGTATACATAATCTTATTCTTCTTTGCTTGATGTTTCACCAGGATTCAGACTCAACATAACACCGTTTTGCAACCCAAAAGAGCTCTCCTTAATCAAAAGGTGTGGGATGCTGAGAGATGATAAGCATCAATATATACAGACATTCCACAGATGTGTGCATGACTGATCATCGGTTTGCTCAAATTTGAGATGTTAAATCATTCTAGACCAAAACTCACGTCACAACAGGATACACACAAACACTGCACCTATCATCCGTCGGGTTCCCGTTTCGGCGAACCTTCCGGGCAGCTTGGCAACGCAGCTACCGGACGGCCGAAAGCCTTTTCTTGTGTTTCTGGAAATACGACACCCGAAAGAATCATTCCCAACTATCGGGAATTGTCAAAACCTGAAGCCCTGCTCCACGATGTAGCTGGTTTTGACCCACCGCCATGTGTCAGTATGACCTACAACCACTAAAAGTACCCGAGTGTAAGAGTAGACCAAAGTTGCTTAGATGGAGGGTTTGACTTAAAACCAATGCAGACTCCTGGACAAACCAATGCGGACTCGAAAGACACACTGAGATGGAATGAACTCATCACTATACAAGAATCACTCTGCACTGGTAGAGGATGTAGGCCATAAAGAGTTGCACAGAGTTGGATTCAAAGGGTAGAGATTCATTCCGAGCCTCATTGATGGGTGTTTCGCAAAACCACCAAACCACACAGCACCAAACCATGACCTCTTTCACAGCCTTTTTCAGACCTCCACGGCTTCACATCGCCCCTTTGCCCCCTTCCTTCGCCCCCAAACCACCCGCGCCGCCACGGTGCGCGACTCGACGGCGTATCGACTCGACGGTGCGCGTCACAGCGGAATGTCCATCGAGGCGAATGTCGAATTTGCCCGCCGCGGTGCGCATGATGCGCGACCAGAACGCCCCGGCAAAGAGGCCATTGGAACCAACCAATGGACGCCTTTCCCGCTGGAAGCGGCGGTGAAGCGGGGTTTGAAGCAGAAGATAGAGGAAGATAGGGTCATCAGAGGCATCATGAGTCATCAGACTCATGGGCCATATAGGCTTAAGTCATGTGTCAAGAGTGGTTGATCATGCGGAAACCTCCATCCGAAAGCTATTTGAAATGGATTCTATGGATTCCTGGACGATCCTGAAGGTGATTTGGATGATCTAATGATCCCAAGGTATACAGGTCAGGTCTATCTATTCTATATTTAATGATGGCTAAATCCTCGAGGACCTCTTTTTGGTTGAAGAAGTGCTCCACCACCGCCACCACCTGCTGGACATATATAGAAAACCCACAACTAACCAGTGGGACATGATCAATCTCTTGTTTTATGTTTGTGTTCCTTCCTTTCAAGACGTCCATGCAGTCTCTCCCGTCCATGGCCTATGCCCCAGGCCACGCTTGGAGGCTGGTGGAATGCCCCTGGCCTATGCGCATGCCCTCGCCAGCGGGGCGATGTCGCTCGGCTATGCCACGTGGGCGTGGGCGGGACCACCGCGTAGTCAGTCCCCTAGACTGGCCGTATACACCTCCGTGTCGACGCTCCAGACAGTCTAGGCTCCACCCACAAAGCACTCACCGGAGCGTGTCGACCAGACACCTGAGACCTGAGACCTTCGGTTGAGATCAGAGACCTTGGCATCAGTACACCAGGTGTTTTTGCATTTTGGTCGGTGCAGACTGATTCAGGTGGAGAAACTGGGAGATTTGTACACCTGATTTGCAGTACTTTCACCCGTCTCTCACTCGGATCTGGCGAGTGCGGCGCCATGGTTCGAGACGGAGCTTCGGAGCTGTGGGTCATGGTTCGTTGTAGGTCAAGTGCAGTGGTTTTAACCCTATAGGCCTCCAAGTACCTTCTGAGAAGGGGTTTGAGGGTGGGTTTGGGTCTAGATCCACAGTGTGCAGGGTAATGATGATGTGTTCTTAGACGGTTGGCTTGTCCAGATCCACAGGCGGCCAGGGCTGTGGCTGTTTTCCACCCGTCGTTCACGACTTGAGGAAGCACCGAGAAAGAAGCGGTGCGGAAAGCTTGAACGCCGCATTGAAACAACGCAAAGTAGAATCAACATACCAAACAAGATGGAAGCAATCAGATAAAGGCATGTTCACGGGAGTCAGTGTTTATGTTTTTTTTTGAGTTGTTCCCCAGATAGCGAGAGCTATTGGGGGTTCTTACTCCAAGTATAGGAAGGGAGAGGTTTGAGGTGCCTGTGTGCGCTTTGGAGCCTGCATTCTGGTGCTGCCCAAAACAGGTAAACATTTGTATCCTCGCTAAAAAAAAGAACTGGTGCATCTACAATGGTGCGTCTTGGCTACCATCGCAGTTTGACTGGTGGAGTGGCGTCCCGACCAAACTTGCCACAAAAAGAGTTGGCTATGCAATTGCTTAGTGCGTACTCCGCCTTACCTGGACATCCATACCCACTGAATGTTCGGGTACCCTTCGTGCCAGACCTCATGCACTCGCAAATCCACCTGGATTTGCCAACCGATAAGCCATTCTTGGAACGCCACAATCTTTACCAACGTGTCCGAAAATGCATTCGTAATAAACAGAATCTTGATACTCTCGCTTTCGACCCGTGAATTCGCTTTCGGCGGTGTAGTCAATTCGCACGGTCTCAACCTGGTCCTTGAGTAGTGGTGCGCAGTGCATGTGTGTGGATACAGTATACATGTCTTTCTTTTTGTACATTCTACCCTCCTGACCCCCCCTGAATAGGGAAGGTCTGTGAGGAGCGACGCAGACATGAGCGCAAGTTGTGTGTGTGGGTGCTGCCCACAAATGTTTTTGCCATTGGGGTCTATGCTGGCCTAGTTTGTTTTGTTTCTGTGCTCAATCTTGTTCAATCTTGTCAGTGACTATTCATAAATCATTGCCTAAGATCAAGGGCACAGAACTTACTATAGCTCCACTTGAGTCCAAAACAGAGGAATTTGGATCTGCTACATGTCCACAATGTTGAAGCTGCTTTAAGCTGACCTTCCCTGATCCAAATCTTGTCAGGCGCTCAACTCGCTCATCTGAATCCATTTTACAGAGTGTAAGTTTCATAGATAAGATCTTAAGTTCGCCTTTCCCCCTGCCATCATTCACTTCCCCAACTAAGGTTTCCCCGCCCTGGTCTTCTTCCAGCCGCCGCCCTCACCCCCGGCCCCGTCCTCGCTGCGCAAACCGCCGCGGGTCTCGCCACCGCTCCTGGCCTAGCGGGTCTCGCCACGCTGGCGGCTGCGGCCTCGAAAGCAGCTCCCGCAGCGGGGCTCACGGCGCCCGCAGTACTCCCCGCAGCGCTCGCCAGCGCCAGCAGCGCGCGGCCGGCGGCGGCCGCGGCGGCGAGTGCGACGCTGCCGGCAGCGTTGAGCGCGGCATCGGTGCCGCAGAGGGATCCGCAGGAGGTGAAGCAGGTGGGAGGGGTGGAGGGTCACTGAGACAGGGCAGGAAGGATCAGGTCATGGCGAAAGTACAACCTGAGAATGGCCAGATGAAAGGGCTGGGATGGGCAATAATAGGACACCACCCCCCTTTCAGAGTGACTGTAAGATTAACTCAAAAGCGCTTTGCTGATACAACAAGAAGACGCTGAGAGGTTCCAAACCACTGCTTGGCTGCGACCGAGCCCTGAAACCTTAAGGCCTTGATCCACTATGGCTGCGTGATCCCCAAGGAGGCGGGTATCCGCGACCTGCAAATGCAGCTGCCACTCGGCCGATCAGATCGACCGGGCGAATTCGGTCGATGAGAATATCGATCCCTGGGATGGCAGCGATGGGTCAAGGAACGACGTGATGGTCAAACACGATCAAACTAAACGTCGTAAACATGATCCAACGTCCGTAGATGAATATCCTATCTAGAGGATCCTCTCACTGCCGTGAGCCTGTGAATCGTGTGAATGCCTTTTCTGTTTCCTTGGGAGTATAGTCGACCTGAGCTTTGGCCAAATTCAACTTTCTCTTTGCTGTCGAACTTCTCTTGGTGGGACAATCTCCCGGCTCGGTGTGCTCGTCTCAACCTAGATTCCTAGCTTGGACCGTGCTGTGCGTTTCAGAGTCGATTCGGGTTCCCACTCGTCAGCACGCTGGACAACGCAAATTCAGAAGTGACATGCTCTTATTGGTTCATCGCTGGTTAGTTGCTTTACGACGGACGAAGGTGGCCTTGGTTACATATGGAGGATTTTGCCGCAGTGATTTGCCAATGAAAGGCATCAGTTGTGGGAATCATGTCCTACCATCCGAGTGTTTGGTCCACACATCGTTTTTAACGCATGGATCTTCAAGATTCAGATGTTTGCTTTAACTCGTCATTGGGAACATCATCATCATCATCATCATCATCATCATCATCATCATCATCATCA